ATGGATGGATGGATGGATGGATGGATGGATGGATGGATGGATGGATGGATGGATGGATGGATAGATGGATGGATGGGTGGATGGATGCATTAATGGGTGGTTGGGTGTGTGGATTGGGTAGATTTTATTTGTAGATATAGTTATGGATAAACACGTAGCTCTAAATATGAATATTGATTTGCAGATATTTAAATTTACATTTTTGCAGCGTGAGATTTAGATGGAATTATTAGGCAGTGATCAAATGTTTTGCCTTTTATTTTTACATAAACCATGACATTGTTTCATATTTTCTATATCCCTCGTGTTGATATGATTTAAACGAAATGCGTGTTTAACCTAATCAGCTTCCATGTTGTGTCCTTGGCATCTCATGCATTTTTTTCTAGCATGCTATTTCCATCGATGGTCACTAAAAATATAAATTAATAGCTAGGTTATTCGTGAAAGCATAACCGCCCATCTTAACACACGCAATCGACGCGCGTTATGGGTTCCATTAGCGTGATAGTGAGAGCCTTGCATAATTGAATTAGTGACGAGGCAGTTAATAGTTTACTGATTGGGTTCGTTTCGCTGTTCACGGTGATATATTTTTTTGGGGAGAGGGGGGAGGGTTCAATGGTTTGTCGTAAGATATGGATATGCTAAAACCATTGTTATCATGCACGATACGCAACTACACGCATTGCACGAATTCATTCATTCTTCTAATTATGATAAGAGTGATTCACAATCAGTCAAGGAAAATATATTGAAGAAATTTTGTCGTTTCTGCGGCTCATAATAGAGATATATACCACGATTAATCATTGCTTTCCGCACGCAAATGTGTTATGCTCTTAATTTTCCTGAAAGGATGTAGCCAAACTAAAGCAATTAAATTCGCAAATTGCATGCAAGGCAAAATAACGCGCTAGCGTTTTTTTACACGATGATTAATATTATCAAAACGTCATTGCGAGCGCATCTCGTCATTACGACGATCAATGTCGCATTGCCGATGTGGTTAGTGGCGAAAGCAGCTCTAACGCCACTCCAGCCCCGACTCACCCCTACACAGCGACATCATTTTACTGCGGCGGTGGCGCACGAGATAGCTGCTGGACGCGAACTCATCGACGCGACGTCGCGCACTCGCTAACTGCATTTCTCTCTCGAATTTGTTTTCAGTAATTTCATCAAGCCGGCGATGCAAAGCGGAGTGGTATTCGGTTTGCTTCTGCTCGTCACAACAGCGAACGCCATCGATCTAGGCCGCCTCTACCACCACCGCAACGGCATCGCCAAGAAGTCCTTCGACAACCTATTGAACATGTATCGGCAGTCGTACGCGGAGGGCAAGCGCGGCGATGGAACGTTTGGTAGGCATTTAGCTTAGGATCAATAAAAAGAAATGTGTGCCAACGAATTGCAAACCAACAGCCGTTGAAAACTGCAATTAGCTAAGAGGCAATCGCGTGCATCGCAAAGGGGAAAAGTAAGCATGCACTTTGCTATCTTTTTGTCGTGCTCACGCAATAATTATCGAGTTCATTGACGGTTTATTAGCGACAACGGCTCCATCTACGAGTATACACACGCATCCCGTTGATCGTCGCAAGATATGCCCGCTTTTTACGATAACATTCTCTATTATCCACTCCTGATATCATGCACACTACTTTCCCTTGTGAAACCACTGAACAATGACATTGTGAACAATATTACCTGCGTGCAACGTGTTATTTTATAACACACGTTACACAAACATTACACAACCAATGTATATATATATATATATATATATATTATATATTTATATTAAAATTGGCCTGAAATTTTTTATAACGAATGTCGAGCAATACGCTTGGCCATTGTCGACCATATTTCATGCGTTTGTCTTTTTCCTGTCAGCATAAATATATATGCGTATTGTGTATGTTACGTGGTTCTGTGTTTGAGTTTAGTGTGCGCTGTGTGTGTGTGTGTGTGTGTGCGTGCGTGCGTGCGTGCGTACGTACGTACGTACGTGCGTGCGCTCGCGTGTCTGCGTAAGAAAGTCAGGGCAAAAATGAGAGCGGGAGGCAGAAGGAAGGTTAGTGCAAACAAAGATGCAGAACGGGGGAGAGTGACAGGGAGAGGGAGAAAGTGACAGGGAGAGTGAGAGAGAGAGAGACAGAGACAGAGAGAGAGAGATAGAGAGAGAAAGAGAGAGAGAATGAATAGATTTCGGACTCACTCCTATAAGACGACCCACATCGCTACTCGCTAAGTGAGATGGGATCTCTACACGTCGCTAGGCAAGACGCATGTCATAGTATTGGCATGTGGGATTACAGAAACGCATTTTAGCCTCCCGCTGCAGCCTCGTGTATTTTATTTGGGATTTTTTGCGCCTTTCGTGTGTCACTGAAAGCTGACTATGTGGTCTTTGTTTATATCAACAGCGGACACTCGTACAATATTTGTAACCAAACTAATTTTAACGGCCACGGAGATACGTTTTGACGTTAACCTGTGAGTCAATGTCCGAGTATTTAGTCGAGAGATCACACCAGCATTCGGATCGTTGTACAGAGATGTCGCGTATTACGCGCACTTCAACGTCATAAAACGAATGTACAGCGACTAGCGTTCGGAAGACGTGTAAATGATAATTCGTTAACAATGCGAATATTTCGTTCTTCCATCCCTCTCGGACTATCCCTCTGTCAATGCAGTCTTTTCTGTAAGGATTAAATCTACCTTATAGGCGATATGCCGCGCAGAAACGAGTTCTTGCGGACACGTTCATGGAAGCGGATGTCTTTCACGTAGGTCTAACTGGTTCGGGGTAATCACGTGAACCAATAAGAGAAAGCGGAGCCATGTCAGACATCTTACCTACGTATAGTGTCACGTGATTTACTTACACTACTACACAGATAATACTGGATTCAATATTTATATATCTAGCATTAAGAGTGAATAAAAACTAATCTGTTTTTTTACTCCTACTATTATGCACATGCCAACTTTATGCCGGTCTATTCCGTATAGAATAATATCTGCTGCTGAGTATGTTGAGTATAACGATGTATCGTGACAGAGAACTCGTCTGTATCGTACTTTTTCACGGTTTTCAAGATTATAGCACATATTTAAACGGATATACAAAATATATAATCTTGTTCTCTTATATATTACATCTAGGCTTATTCCTAAGAGCCTAGGTGTTGATAAAACCGCAACTTTTGTACAAATTCTAGAGATCGCGTAAGAGCTACTCCTTCCGTCGAAAGTACTCTCGATCATCCTGCGTTACTTAATTTTACATTCAAGGATCACAAACAGATGTAAAAAATCATGATTACATTACTTCGGTATCATTCTTTACTCGACTTTGAATGCAATCACAATGCTTATTGTGAACTTTACTGAACCCGCCCTACCTTCACAGCATATTTCCTTACACCTAATGCGTCTTTACAGTCCCGACTGTTGGTAGATACTAGTTGTGTATAGTGCTACTAATCCAACGTCAGCAAATAGAACGCACGCACAAACATGTAATGTTCGGCCTAATTACTGTATATCGGCTGCCTTGGCTTCATTACGTTTATATGCGTAGCATTTTAGACCTGTTCAATGACGGTGCCTGAGGTATTAATTGGCAGACAGGCAATTCCTATTAAGCGGTTGCTCTGGCGCATTTTATCCGCTAATCATATTCCTTACTAGGAATGCGGATTCAGGTAGCAGCCGAATGCCACGATCGCAGACAGGTGTCTGTACATGGAGAAACGTAGGCTTGCCGCATTAGCGCTTATCGTGTAATACATAATATACATGGCGTTTTGACGGATGAAGCGTCATGTAGGTTGACCACGCACCGAGGGAGCGTGAAATTCCTCCCCTCGCTCCCGTGTAGTATGCTGTGTGTGTTGTGTGTGTGTGTGTGTGTGTGTGTGTGTGTGTGTGTGTGTGTGTGTGTGTGGCGTGCGGCGTGCGTGTGTTGGTGTGTGGCACAGCACCGTGACGCGGCCGCCACGACACAGACAGCAGACAGCCGAAAATGCGGCCGAGAAATATCCCGAGCCGGGCGAACGAACTTCAATCGATGCGTATGACAACTACCAACTAAGCTCGACACTATCTAGAAACCCTGAGCGAAGCAGTATCGACATGTATCTGATAACCGGCCCGGGACGTCCGACCCGACAGTTACACGACTTATCATACACTCTCTGTATGCAGCAACCGTGTCACGCCAATCAGTTATAATACGCGAACCGGACTCACCATACCGATAGGCCACCAGTGTGGTGTGTGTGTGTGTGTGTGGTGTGGTGTGTGTGCATGTGTGTGTGTGGTGTGTGTGGGTGTGTGTGTAGTGTGTGTGTATGTGTGTGTGTGTGGTGTGATGGGGAGGCAGCGTGTCGCAGCAGTGCATGTTATACGTGTTCGAAAATTACGTTCGGATGCTGCTGTGCAGCGTCGATACAGGCCGAGCCTCGAAGTACAAGAGCGGACGCCCTCTATTCGTCCGTAATTGCGCTGATAGCAGAGAGAGAGCATGCTGAGCGGCAAGGCTGCTAACGGACACCGAGCGACCCGCTGAGGCAATAAAATATTGATAGGACAAAAACTTGGCATTTCCGTTCTTCGGTAAAACCCTAATGCCGTTTGCTGTCACCACTGCCGGCCCTATCATTGCGATATTTGCAACGCGAAAACATTGACCGCGTGGTTTTCACACCACGTGGAAAAACAATAATAAAACATACTAAAGCAAATTTCGTTCGCAATACTCTCAGGGCTGACGACTCGCGAGGAGTTCCAGATACACTAGCGCGCCGAGAATCTCCTGTAACTCATTACAGCAACATCAGCAGTAATACGCCGTTGTTTGGTGATCGCGTCCGCTCATCGAACCAATGTTACTGCGTTTCACAATGTTGTTGTTTTTCGTCTGCGCCTGCTGCACTCGTCGCAGGTTCTCGTTTCGACCGACTGGTCGCGCCGCCTCAGCGGCGTTCCTTATGCTTTCTTCACCGCTCTTCTGGGCTTTCTTTCTCCTCCTCTCTGCTCTCCCCTCTTCTTCTGCTTAATATCCCTCCTTCTGCCTCCTGCACTCTCTCTTTCTTCTTCTCTTTCTCTCCCCTTGCCTTCACCTCCCTCTCTCTTATATCTTCTGTTCTCTCGGCTCTCTTCTGCTCGCCCTCCCTGCTTCTCCTCCCTCCCAACTCTTCTCTCTGCTTCTACCCTCTTCTCTTCCTTATTACCACTGTTACATTCAACGAAGACGCTAATAGGCTATCGCGCCTGGAAACTGCGCGCGTTTATCCTGCCCGTACATGGCCCGACCGAGTATTTAAAATTAACAGAAACATTACTTAGATTAGATAATTAAATTACACGGCTCGGGTCAGATAGCGACGACGATGACGACAGATGGACGATGACACGACGAAGACGACGGCCCGGGGCGGCAGATAGATGCCAGATGATAACAACGCCATTATGACTTATCCTTCAAACCCGACAGAACGAATTATATCGTCAACACTAATGTATTCCTAAGATTTGGTTTAATGATGCTTTATGCATCTGCTTCCCCCTCAACTCTAAGCCTTTACCGGCCACTAGCGTAACCCAATAGAGCTTAAGAAGTAATTCTAATAAATAATGCTCAAGACCAACACAGTGCACGCGTGTCTGCATTACCAGTACACACTCTATTCGTGAGTACATTGGCGTGAGCGCCGCAACTGCGTTAATTAGAATCGAAACTAATCTAAATAATTTTGCATGACAACAATCGAACGTTCCCCTAATGAAGCATATTATTAATTCGGCTGCTAGCAAATAACTAGCTGCGCCTTGCTTCTGGCGCTGCCGAGGTAACCGCTGACGCATCAGTGTGGGCCGTCGAGGGCAATTGGTTGTTTCCTCGGCTTAAATGGCCGAATTAAAACTTATATAATTCATCTCGGCGATATCACGCCAATTTTTAGCATTTGAAGTAAAATTTCGTTTTCGCAGTTCGATGTGTATATATTATAAACGTTTAATGAAAGACGTTCATTAATTCATATTACTGCATCATGGCGATGAGGTCGGCACCTGTGTTATCCCGCCACAGAAAGATGCTTTTAATTATAGTTAGTTTGATAAATACCAGAGCCCATCAATTGCTAAATGAACAAATATTTTGTTGGCAGATGTTAAGAAATAAAAGCGCCATGTACGCGTTACACGCGTCATTAATGACCGCATCGTTTTTTCGCCAAAAGATGTCCGAAAAAATGCGTTTTGGATCGGATTGGATCCTAATTTTGCGACTACTCGATTTGTATACACAAGAGCCAACAATCAGTCCACTATTACGATCTTGTTGATG